AAAAAAAAAAAAAAAAAAGATACTTCCTGTAAAATGTCTGGTTTTAGAGATTCTGTTCGTGTAGTTTCAGTAGATTGTAATTTTTCATTGATGAATCAGGGTATGATTTGCATGAAGCTGAACCTGTTTCACATGGTCAGATTTAGACAGAAAATGGTTTTTATATTGTAGGAAAAATCATTTTTAAGTGGGTAAAGTCAAATGTTAAAATATCCGTGTGTTTGAAACCATGCTCAAAAGGACACATGGCATCTCAAAATCTTTTTTTTTTTTTTCCATTTGGATCTGTAAACCATCCTCTAAGCCTGGCAGAACACATGAGGAATAAACACACAACGCTATCATCATTTTCATAGACTCGGTTCTTGAGTCACTAATCCTATTTATTAGGAAACAAATGTGCTGCCAGTGTATAATTCTTGATTTTTTTTTCTTCAGTGTGTTACCACACTTTCTGTTAAGCTTTCAGTGTTCTTACCACTGTTTATTAATGCGCTTGAATAAATGCTGAATCTAAACTGTATTTTCTGTTTTCTTATATAACAAACTGACTTGTGTTGAACGGAATTTTCAAAACAGTTAAGTCAGATTTCAAATGTTATTTTCTGCTTTGAGAACTAAGGCTGTCAGTTGTTTCTCCAAGGAAAACCATGAATCTTATGTTATTTCTTCTTTGCATCATTTGCAAAAAAAAATAAAAAAAAAAAAAAAATAAAAAAAGATAACACCCTGCAAGAGACCTTCTTCGCCTCTCAATAACCACCATAACGAAGGAAATGGTGCTACCCTGGTCCAGAATGTGAGAATAACTTTTGCTTTGGGCATAATATAGGGAAAGATAGCCTTAAAAGCAAACCAGGTACTCTGTAGTCCTGCGTTGATTTAAATAAAATATATTGAATGACTCTTCTTCAGTTCAACAACTAAACTCCTATGACCTTCTATGGATGTTGTAAGTTTTGCCTCTAAAATTAAAAATAATTATGATTTAGGACAATGTTATCACAAAAATGTAGAAACATTTTTAGACATTTTTCAAACATATCTGGAAGGATCTAAGCAACTTAGCAAAATCAGTTCTTCATTTCTTTAAAACTTTTGTGGCACTAACAGCCTTTTTATTTTTTAGTAGCTTGACAGGATGAAAGAGGGAGGATAATATGCAGGTACTGTCCCGGCTGGGAATCGAACCTGGGACAGTGGTGTGCAGCCTCTGTGCATTTAGCTTTACCACTGAGCCACCAGCTGCCTGCAATCCTTCTTCACTGATGAACGGCACAATTTTATTAAAATTATTAATCCAGTAGATTCTGTATCCGCTGCAATTTAAGATGAGCGGAAATTTTAATGGAGGCTCTAATTATTGTGATATGTTGTAAACTCATAGGGCACATTAGTAATCTAACCTGTTCAGGGTGTAGGCCGCCTTTCACCCACTGTCAGCTGGAGTTAGACACCAGTCCTTCCATGTCCCTGCAAGAATTAGGCAGGCTTATAAATCTAATTAACGGACATTAGTCATCAGACCATTTCCTTCAATTACTTATCTATTTCATAAATGTAGGTCAGTCATGCTTGCAGCACCGCAGTGGGCTTCTATGAACTAATGGCAGAGTTTATGACCCAGTAAATAATAATTTTTGGTATGCACTTGCACATCTGCAGAAACTAGGTGACCCACTTTTCAGCAATAATGGGGAAATCAATCACTCGACAGCGTCTCCCATGACAGGAACAGAATTACAACATGTTCAAGTGCTGTGTTGGCATTACACAAGTGTTTCTTTGTTTTCCTGTACTGCAATTATACATGTGAGCCCACACAAGAAATTGTTCCTAGAAGAAATCTGTCAGATTTTTGACTAGATTCCAGTAAAGAATGTCTGAAAATGACTTTATTTGGTCAGGAAAAGTCCCAGTTTTTTCTCATTTCATTTAGTTAGATTGAATGACAGACACCTGACTGTGTGTTATTAAATAATGTGCTTCCATTCGTAGGTAACTATGGTGAGAGCGGTATGGAGGCATTCAAAGACATGGCAGCAAAAGAGGGGATCTGCATTGCCCACTCTGACAAAATATACAGTAATGCAGGGGAACAGAACTTTGACAAACTGCTGCAAAAGCTCATGGCCCATCTACCCAAAGCCAGAGTGGTGGCCTGCTTCTGCGAGGGCATGACAGTCCGAGGCATTCTGATGGCCATGAGACGAAAGCGCCTGGTGGGGGAGCTGCTGCTGGTGGGAAGGTGAGCAGGGAAATCTATCATTTTCAATTTCTGCCTGCACGTCTTGTCGCTGTGTGTCTTGCTTGCCTTTACTAGGGAATAAAAGTTGTAGCCTTGCACAGTTTGTGCCTCTACATTCACAGTCTTGTTACTTTGCACTTTCTCCAGATGTCCAGCGTCATCCATCCCGATGTATTTGTTTATAGCGGAACCATCTATGTCCTCTCATCCTCATCATCATTGCATCTTTCAGTTTAATGGTGACCTTTAAACTTCAAGGTATTTTTACATTCTATGATACTTTCTTTCACAGTGTATACATTGATTTTAACATATTTTCTTGGTATTTTGGATGATAGGCCAGGACAAACTAGTTTATGAATGTGAAATGGAAAGAAAAGCATATGACAAAATGCTTGTACTTAAAAAAGGGAAAAGTTTTGCTCCCCCTTCCCCTCAAAAATGTTTTAAATCAAGAATACCTGTGATTAATGTAGTCTCGGTGTTAAATATAACAACAACAGGTCCTTGGTATCTCTGGATGAGTGACAGATACTCACTGATAAGATTTAAAGAACCAGCAGAATTATGATGTAGGAAGCTTTACACTAGCAGCGAGAAGGAAACTGATCACAGCTTGTCATCAAATCAATGCTGCTAAAGGCAATGTAATTCTAAATGAAAATCTGTTTGAGACTTAAGACTGCAGCGTTCACCTTCCAGCAGGATAATTACCCTAAACATATAGCTAGAAGTACAGATTGCTAGTTTAGAGCAATGCTGTTTTTGTGTTTGCATGACCCAGTAAATCAAATGGAGAACCACTGGCATGACTTGAAAAAGCTGTTCAGAGTCATTCCATATCCGGTCATACTGACTTTGAGCTATTTTACAAAGAAGAATTGAGGAAAATTTAGATCTGGTGGAGACATAACTCTTATAGTTGCAAAATACTTGCAGCTATAATTACAGCAATGGGTGATTCTTCAAAGTATTGACTCAGAGAGGTTGAATAAAAAGGAATGTCCGTCTTTTTAGACGTTTGTTTGATTCTGAAAAATCTAATTCTTTCTCCTTTTACCCTACAAAGATACATTACTTTGTGTTGGTTTGTCAAATCAATTTAAAAAAAGATCAAGGAGTAAAGATATTGTGACAAATTGTTATGTTTTATAATCCTAATTTTTATGTATTCAAAGTACCAGTGTCACCTAAATATTAATTGTTCACTTTGATGAAAATGACTGCATTGTCCATGTTTTTAGAAATACAAAGCTGAGATCCCTGTTTTCTCAGTTTCTATAATAAACCTTCTTTTTTAACATGTTATATGACCATCTGCCTGCAAATTATTTTAAAAGAAAATAAGCCAAAGACTGGGCAAAAAAAAAAAAAAAAAAAATTGGGGATGCAAACAAGTGAAGAAGAGGCGGTGGATCTAGAGAGAGGTTCCAATCTCTCTCCGAGAATAACGTGTTTTATTTTAAGGTTTGGCTCTCTGGCTCGCTCTCGTCCCTGGTGTTCTATAAATGCCTTTCCTCATTAAGAGCCACATATGTAGGCTGTCGCTCAAATTTGACAGCAGGAAATGTAAAATAACCTTGAACTACATATTGCAAAAACACAACTCTCTAGACTTTCCATAAGCTCATACATCATAAATACTCTAGCTGTGTTGCCATTGTATAATTATTTTATTGATGTCAGGATTTCTTTTACTTAAATTATGCTTTGCTTGTAAAAATTTGAGATATGCATTCCCCGTCCAAAATTTGCCCTTTTAATGTAATCACTAGTGTTTCTTTGTTCTACAGGTTTGTTTAGTGACCTGCAGAAATTTAGATTTTTATGCAAGTCTGGAGATTTTGTTGCCAGTTGTGTGCCTTTGTGCCATGTGTGCATGCCTATGTCCAATAAATGTAGAGAAATACTTGGATCATGCCAAACGTATGGAAGAAAGTCCTCTGGTCAGATGACACCAAAAAGGAATTTTTTGGACTAAGAGTAAACCTGGTGTGTTGGAAAATATTATTATGATGAAAAATATTATATGAAAATATTATTCTCATCATGAAACATGGTGATGGCAGGATCATTCTGAGAGGAAGTTTTTTTTTCAGGGGGAACAGAAAAGCTGGACAGCCAAAAAAAAAAAAAAAGATTAGAACAAAGGTTCACCTTCCAGCTGCACAGTGACTGCACACAGCCATTCTAACACACAAATATGTGTGTTAGAATGGCCTAGTCAAAGTCCAGACCCAAATCTATTTGAGAGTCGCTGGAAGGAATGGTAAGTAGCTATTTTCAATCAAATCTAACTGGGTTGAGCTATTTGCCGAAGAAGAACGAACAACAAGCAAAAGGCGCCTAATATATATAAATACTGGCTGTTAAGTGGTTGATTAAGGGGTGAACACAAAACGCAAGTCAAACTTTTTATTTTTTTTAAACTCTTTAAAAATCATATGCTTCCCTTTGATCACAAGTATGCACCACTGTAAGTTTAAGTAGCCTTGAGCAACAAATCTCCACCCTGGGTTCTGGCTGCTGCACACAGTTTCTTCACACAAGAGCTCCTGTTAACCACTTGGAATTTCTATTACTCTTAATGCAATGTGATCCTTCCCTGGTTTTCCACCCACAAATGCAGAAACACAGCAGCTGAGATTGCTTATAGGTCATGGAGAAAAGCTTTCAGTCCATTTAGATCAGACAGTTGTTGATGTTTAGTCTATTTCTCTCCCCCCCTTCTTCAGTTTCAAGTGTAAAAATTACACCTTTCTTGCAGTTGGATTGTTAAAAAAAGGGCTGTTCTAAAAATTGTATGAAAAATCAGAGCAAGATGCTTGTGTACACACACTTGCATAGCACACATATATGTGTCTTCAGGCATGTAGGTGGTATAGCAACACGCCGTATGCAGCATGGTGCCTTGCTAGGTCGATGTGTGGGTTTCAGAGCGCTTGTTGAACAGTGATTCAAACTATCCAGAGTCAAAGCCCTCTATGCTTTTCAAATCTATTCCTGCCTTTTTTTTTTATGCCAGTGCACCATTTCTGTACTCGCTTCTCTAAGGATGTGTTATGAAATGATCTCCTACCTCACCAGAATCAGACATTATAAAAACACCCACACACTGTTGTGTAACTCCAGCTTGGTTAAATAAGTTTTTAGACAATTACTTCTCTCACAGTTTTTTGTTTTCTTTAAGTTTGTTAGAAGGCATTTGCACCAGTCAGCCATGACATTATGACCACCAGCAGATGCAAACATATAATTATATCACTATTGTGGGTGGCATATATGAAATAGCAAGGAACCACTCTGTCCTCGAGTGTTTATCTGTTAAAAGAAGAGGTTGGGAAGTTATAAAAATGAGAACAAACTTAATAAAACCCATATATTAAAGAACACCCCCAGCACGTAAGGGAAGTTCAGCATTATGTCAACGGAAGAAAAAGATTGTGAAAAAATCAAGGCATGTTGTGTTGATCCTCTTTAAATCAAAAAATAGATTGACTGAAACTTAAAGCTGACAGGTTGTCACAGAAATGTAGCCATTTGGATACCTTAGAGCACATGTGTCAAACTCAAGGCCCGCGGGCCACATGTGGCCCGCCATGTCATTTTATGTGCCCCCCCCAGCATTTTATAGGCTGATGATTGACTTAAAATAGGTTTTGAGCACGAATTGATGACAAACTACATCTCCCACAATGCATTCCGATTGTTGCCAGCAAACATTGCGGCTTCTCGCCACTAGAGAGCAGCAGAGTCACTTCAAGCTGCTTATTGATTCTCCCAGCGAATAAAACTGAGACATGGACAAGCTAACATCAAAACGTCCAAGAAAAGAAAAATCGATTTGCAAGTAAGACTGCGAATGAAGATGTGTGTGAGTTGGTGTCAGGGCGGCAGGTGGCGCTAGACTTTGGGTTTTTTTTTATTATCC